TAGTGGGAGAAACTGCCTAGAGCTCAGAGATCCAAGGGAGGACCAGTAGCTTTATAGATAGTAGCCCTGGCTCCAGCAGTGGTCCATGGGGCCGAAGATCACAAGAGCAGTGAACATCAGTGCAAACCTGCAATCGTCATCACTACATCACCAACAGGACCCCTAAATAAACCACTTGGAAGAGAGGGGGATGACATACACGGGGATCAGAGGTTCGAGATATACACAATTGTTATAAAGGCATAGTTGTACTCACTCAACAGTGAGGGCTGGCGGCCGGAGCAGCAGTAGCAGCAGCACGGGGAGTTCGCTGGCCCAGCAGTCCCGGAGCCGGTGGCGGGCCATGGCCTCAACCTCGCCTGCGCCTTCGCCCTCGCCCTCAATGGCACCTGCAGATGCCCAAGGGTCCGGGAGGAGGCAATGGGCACAGTTCTCGGGACTAGCCGCCCCGCGAGTCGCATTCGCTTTCGCTTTTACTTTAGCCCCCGGAGGGCTGGGGAGAGGTGAGAAGCGTGACAGATCTGTGACTCAGCATCCCCTCTGGAAAAAGCCCCGGCAGCCGCAGGGGGTCCTAGTGCGGCCGCGGCAGTCCCTGGAGCAATGCGAACCGCGCAGAGCAGAGTCCCGGACCGTCCCGTGCGGAGGACTGGATCCCTGTCCCCGCTTCTCTCCTCACCTCTCGTCCAAAAGCCCGGTGGGTCTCGGGTCCCAACGCAGAGGGAGTGGGCAAAGCCATTGGGAAGCAAGGTCATTCGAGTAAACTCGGCCGGTGGGCGTTCACACCTGACTTCTGCTCCAGTCCTTGACCTTCTATAGCTTGTCTCCTCCTGTCGCTCCTACTTCACCTTCCAAGTTTCCCTTCATTCCTAGACCATGGGTTAGTGGCTCTGCGCTCCCTCCACCAGTCTGATCCAAGTATGGTGGGGGAACGAACCTCATTGGTGGGTGACCCCGCAGGTGTCGCCCCAGTGCGGCTGGCCGGGTCACGTGCAGGGGTGCAGGGAATCGTAGCCCATGCCACCTGTTCACGCCTGCTGGAGCCTTGTTTACTGGAAACTAGTGCAGTATCACAATGAGGAAATTGACACTGACACAAATCATAGCCATATTCAAATTTTGTCAGTTTTCTGTGAATTCATTTGTATGTGTTTAGTTCTGTGCAGTTTTGTCAAACACACACACACACAGTAGATAGATAAATAGATGAGATCTGTAACCACTATTGCCAAGACGAAAGTGTTCCCCTCCCAGGATCTCTCCTGTTACTCTTATATAGCCACAGCCACCTTCCTCTCTCCCCTGTCCCTGAGCCCTGGCAACCACTGATCTTTTTCTCCATCTCTATAATCTTGCCATGTGGAGAATGTCATGTAAATGTAACCATACAGTTTGTAACCTTTAGAGGTGGGCTTTTTCACTCAGTAGAATTCCCTTGAGGTTCATTCAAGTTGCTGTCCTTTTTATGAGTAGTACTGATAGTTTCTTTTTTAAATGTATGAATCTCTGCCATCCATACCCAAATAGCTTTGCTTTCATATATGTACTAGTGGCCCAGTGCACGAATTCGTGCACATTGAAAGGAAATTAATTAGAAGAGCTATTTTAATATAGCTATTCACCCTTTCTCTATAACAGAAGTGTCAACCAAATTCACGATCGACCATGTCAGATGGAAACACACACACACGTGCAATTGGTGCCAGCGAGAGCTTTATATGTATCGCACATGCGTGAGTCAACTTAGCCTTTTATATATATAGAATAAACTTGCTTAATTAGACCTGCTTTCTGATTTAGCTAAACTTTTTCCAGGCCAGTGAAGCACCTCAACTTCTCTTTCAGTTAATTGTCAGCAACACAGCAGTAAATATCAACATGAAGCAGATTATTACTGTAGATCACTCAGGGAGAACAAAGGGTAAAATATTAACCTGCAGCAGTGTTTGACTATATTCTGTGCAGTGAGAAAACCTGAAGTCATTTTCCAGGTCCACCATTTCTTCTTTTCAGTGGGGTCAAATTTCTAAGCTTTCTAGATCACTGTTTTCTGGCTAGTGAAAAGAAAACCGATTGTCTGTAGGCAGTTGTGTGTGTGTGTGTGTGTGTGTGTGTGTGTGTGTGTGTGTGAGAGAGAGAGAGAGAGAGAGAGAGAGAGAGAGAGAGAGAGAGTTTCCTAGGACTGCCACAACAAAGTACCAAAAACAAGGTGGCTTAATCAAAAAATTAATAGAATTAATAAAAGAATTTCGTAAAGCCCAGCCATTGTGGCTCAGAGTTGAGCACTGACCCATGAACCGGAGGTCATCAGTTGGATCCCTGATCAGGGCACATGCCCAGGTTTGGGGCACAATCCCCAGTAGCGGTGTGCAGGAAGCAGTCAATGGATAATATTTCTCTCTCATTGATGTTTCCGTTTCTCTATCCCTCTCACTTCCTTTCTTGCCAAAAATCAACAAAACTATTTTTAAAAATTCGGTAAAGAAGCAGGATACAAAATTAATATATAGAAATCTGTGGTGTTCCAATACACTTATAACCAACAATCAGAAGGAGAAATGGGGAAAAAAACTTCATCAAAAAAGGATAAACTAGGAATAAACTTAACCAAGGTGGTGAAAGACCTCTACAAAACTATGAGACACTGAAGAAAAAATTGAAGAGGATATAAATAATAAATGGGAGGATATACTGTGTTCTTAGATAAAAAGGACTAATATTGTTAAAATGACCATATCACTGAAAACTATTTATAAATTCAGTACAATTTCTATCAAAATACCAATGTCATTCTTCTCAAAACTAGAACAAGTAATCCAAAATTTATATGGAACCATAAAAGTTCCTGAATAGCCAAAGCAATATTGAAAAAGAAGAACAAAGTTGGAGGTATCAATCTTCCTGATCTCAAACTATACTATAACCTATAGTAATCAAAATAGTGTTGTACTAGCACAAAAACAGACACATAGATCAATGGAACAGAATAACAATCCTAGAAATAAGTCCTCACTTTTATGGTCAGCCAATCTATGACAAAGGTCACTAATCTAAACACTGAAGTAATGACAGTCTTTTAACTGGTGTTGGGAAAACTGGACAGATACATGCAAAAAAGAAAGAAGAAAGAAAGAAAGGAAGGAAGAAAAAAAGAAGATCATTCTCTTATACCATAAACAAAATAAACTCAAAATGGGCTAACAACTTAGATGTAAGGCCTAAAACCATAAAACTCATAGAAGAAAACAAAGGAAGTAAACTATCTGACATCAGTCTGAGTAATATCTTTTGCACACATCCCCTTGAGCAAGGAAAACAAAAGTAAAACTAAGCAAAAGGAACTATGTGAAACTAAAAAGATGCTGTATAGTGAAGAAAACAAAACCCTCAACAGAACAAAAAAGCAAACTACTGACTGGGAGAATTTATTTGCAAATGATATGTCTGATAAGGAGTTGATATAAATATATAAGAAACCCATGCAACTCAATAACAACAACAAAAATTCACTACAATAAAAAAATGTGGAGGGGACATGAAAAGACGTTTGTCCAAAGAGGACATACAGATAGCCAACAGACATATGAAAAATGCTTAACATCACTAATCATCAGGGAAATGCAAATCAAAACCGTAATGAGATATTACCTCACACCAGTCAGAATGGCTATTATCAAGTCAACAAATAATACGTGTTGGTGAGGATGTGGAGCAAAGGGAACCATGATGCCAAGATCTCCCGTTGGATATGCTGTTTGGGAAGCTTATTGGATTCTGCTTTGATGTTGTCTGAAGCTGGCCACTGGGTGTATTGGTCCTGGGCCTCTTGTGTAGGCCAATGTCAGATGCTGTCTGTGCCTGGCCCTCAGCAACCTGTTTGGAGTTACAAGGGATCTAGTTTGTGGTTGCTTCCGTTGGGCTTGGGTGCAGTCCGAAAGGACCAAGCTGCACAACAAGGCCAGCTTGTTTCAGCACTGGGCCTGGGACAGGTCGGCACAAGTTCTAAAGCACCCTGAGACCCACCACGCCCTGCCTACCCCTGCTGGCTGCCTATTGGGCTTAGTCGCTGAAAGAGTCTCTGGCAGAGTAGGGAGAGTGGGGCTAGTGGACCTCCCCGGAGCGGGAGGGGGTGGGTGTAGTTTTCACCCCAGAGCCACAAGACTCTGTCTCAGATTTTGCTCCAACCTTGGGGGTGTGAACACTAAGAATTTTTTTGGGGGTGGGGGGGGGGGGGCTGGTGGGGCCTCTGAAGCAGGGAGGTTGAGTCTGCCAGAAGCTGGTAGGGTGGTTTTAACTGATCTCCCATTGAGAAGGAAGTGCCAGTCAGGTTCACAGGGAAAGTGGTGAGAATAGCCCCTGCCTCAAAGCCAGACAACTCAGTCACTGACACCTTCTGAGTCTGCCTAGACCTCTACACCCTAGCCAAGGCAGCTGACTCAAGGCAGGGCCTAAACTCCACAGTGTGGGGTGAGAGGGAGTCTAGAGGGTGGGGCAATTGTTCATCCCCCTTCCTACCCCCCACCCCCCACACACACAAAGGGGAGTGCTCCACCCAAGAAAGATGGCATGGAAGAATGACTCAGCACAGGGATCCTGGCAGCTTTCCCTTCAGCTTTCTCCCAGAATCACAAGCCCCACTTTCCTCACAAAACTCTAGTTCACTCCACCCTTCTTCCCCTAGAGCCCAGGGTGAGTGGCTGTGAACCAAATTTTGTGCATTGGCCCTTTAAGAGGGTGCCTGTGTCCACAGCTGGGCTCTGTCTTTCCCTGGCAGACAGAAATCCTGCAGCTTTTCACAGCTGGATGTTGTGTGAGTGCCTCTTCCCAGCTCTGATGCTCTGGGCTGTGAGCCCAGCTTGGGGTTCAGGCCCCATGCTCCTGAGGGGAATCCTTCACAGTGGAGAGAACTTCAGCCTCCACCTGTGGGAGCAGAGCCAGCCGTTTTTGCGTCTCTGCTCTTCCTACCAGTCTCGATGTGGCTTCTTCTGTAAATCCTTGTTTATTCCTCTTCAGCTAGCCTTCAGTTGGTGATTCAGGATGATTTTTCTTTAATTTAGTTGTAATTACAGTTTGTTCGTGGGAGGAGGTGAGCATAGCTTCCATCTACTCTACTGCCACCTTGAAATCTCTTTAAGGCTAATGGGTTCTTATTCTTCCTCTTCTTTCTTTCCTTTCCTTTTCTATGACTCTTCCTTCTCCTCCTCCTCCTCCCCTCCCACAACCTCTTCCTCCTACATCTTGCTTTAGAATTTTAAAATTTTAAATTAAGATGTAATTTACATAACATAAAATTTGCAATTTTAAAGTGTATAATTCAGTGGTTTTTAGTATATTCATGATATTGTGCCACCAGCACCACTGTCAAATTCCAGAATATTTCCATCCCTGGAAAAAGAAACCCAGTACCTGTTAGGAGTCACTTCCAATTTCCCGTCTTTTGTCCCTGGTAACTCTAATCTACTTTCTGTCTCTATGGATTTGCCCATTCTGAGTAGTTCACATAAATAAAATCATACAATATATTATTTGTGTTTGGTTTCTTTCACTCAGCATAATTTTGTTCAATGTATCAGTACTTTATTTCTTTTTATTACTAGATCATATTCTATTAAATAGATATTCCACATTTTGTTTATTCATTCACCTGTTTATGGACATTTGAGTTGTTTCCACTTTAAAATGTTTTAAGTGATTTTTAGAAAGAGATAAAGGGAGATGGAGAGAGAAACATTGATGTGAGAGCAATACATATAATGGCTACCTTCTGCACACCTCCAGAAAGGATCAAACCTACAACCTGGGCATGTGTCCTGACCAGGAATTGCACCAGCAACCTTTCAGTTCACAGGAGGACACCCAACCTACTGAGCCGCACTGGCCAGGGTTGTTTCCACTTTTTGGCTATTATGAGTAACACTCCTATGAACATTCATGTACAAGCTTTTGTGTGAACATATGTTT